GGAAAAATTATCCTCAGTCTCTTGCGCCATCACAACTAGACTGAAGGTCGGAATAGTGAAGAGCATGATCATCAGAAGAACAGTGGTCACGGATTTGCGGAAAGAAAAATTGAACGAATTGACTTGAATTCCTTATAAAAGACATATAAGGAAATGTAAGGTTTATAAAGAGTAGATGACACAATTGCAAAAAGAAAATTGGGAGTGACAATGATGTCCCAAATTAGATATTCCTGATTTTATCAAAATGAGTCAAAATTCCTATTGATAGCAAAAAAATGGAATATTCAAAAGATCTTAGGGTAAAAGGCAACACCCTTCGCATGCTTATCAACGCAACACGATAAGGTAGGCAAACCAAATTGTTCATGAGTCTATTGTATAACAAGTAGAGACTGTACGAAGCATATTGATGCAACAGGAAGAATGCCAGCCTAAGAAACAAGGAATACGAAAGAACCTGCAGAAACACGAGTACGGAGAGGTCAGAAGTAGCAGAACACAAAATTAAAGAAGACGAAAGAATCAACCAAAACTTACTAATTGCTTACGCAAACCCGAAGATCAAGAATCAACAAGAACAACAAAGAGATGACAGATTAAAGGATATATGTTAAACAGAATAAGGGATCGCAAAAAAGAGGCTCTCGTAGGACGATCGGAAATCAAAAGACATTTACAATGAGTCTGGTCAAACCAATGAAACAGGTATAACACCCGGGAGTTGGACATAAAGGACTAGGGAATATTAAAAGAAAAAATCCGACATTATATATAGGATCTCGAGGCCAATTTAATCAGAACAGTATAAAAAAAGAAAAAGTGACTACTTACCATTGTCAATAGGAGATCGATTGCTCGGGATACTAGGCAATTGTATGTCCAGAACAATAACTTGCATTTGGCTGACATTCACTCCAAAAAGCCAATGACCAGGACGCCAATGCCGTTTTTGTTGCTGTTGCAGTTGCCGCTGCTGCCGTCGCCTCGACCGATCCCGACGTCGACGTAACTGGTGTCGACGCTTGCATACTCCTAACCCAGAATGCGCAATTGCAGCTCCTTCATTCGTTTGTGAACACATAGAAACTGGTGTTTTAGATTGGTGGAGAGGCGAATGTGGGGGTCGAATTGGCTTGGAAGATGGTGGACGTCGCTGTGTCCTGGAAA